TATTTTAGTAAAGGTGGCGAGGATGGATTGAAAATGTTTCGAGGTTTACGACTTTACGTGTCATATTTTTATGGAGTCTCACGTGATTACATGAAGAAAATTTGGGGTTGGGTGTACTTATGAAGCCTCAAACCTCATATTAAGACATAAAAGTATAGAGTTAATATCACAAGGTATATATTTACTGAAAAAGGCCCAATGAATAAATGGTTTTAAAATTGGGTTTTTTTGACCTATTGAATATTTCGAAATTTTTGTTCATTATTAAAATGAATTCAGATGGCTCTCAATTTTATATTTAATATTTAATAGTTTTTATTGATTAAGTTTCTTACTCTATTTTTAAAAGTTTTTTTTAGAAAAATACTTATTTTCGAGTGTTAATTTTCAAAATATTCCGTTGGTGTCTAATAAACATTCAATGGTAACTTAACACAAATTATATATAGTCATAACTTGTGATGCACTATTATCGTGCACATGCAATATATTTTTAGGTTTGCTAAAAGTTAAGCTAGCTACATATGCATGCTTACAAGTATGGTAAGAGGAAGCTGCACTTTGAATCAGCGGTTAATTATTAGCTTGATAACTTAATGGCTATGGTTGCAAAGTAAAGTAGGACACATTTTTCGTGTAAAGGAAGCATTTCATATGTATCTTTAACCAGTTTATCTAGTTATCTAAACTCTTTAAAGGTAATTATTAAATTTATCGACTTAGAAGTAATTCAAGTGTACTGTGAAACCAATGGTGTTAAGGGTGCACAAAAAAAGTCAGTGAAATCGGATAATCAATTGTAATTGAACTGAATCGTTGTTTCAGTTTAGATTCCTCAACAATTCGATTCCAATGTTAGTTCCAAAATTGAATAATCATTGAACAACGATTTGGTTCCAATTCCAAACCCTTTAGAATCCAACCGAATTAAACCATTTCTATTATATAATATAATTGCTTTACAATATCAGTCACTTGTTACCATCTTTCTTACTTAGTCTTTAGTGTTTAGAATTTTGTATATTCTAGCTTTTGAATATTGACAATCAGTCATGAAAATTTGATAATTTGTTACTTTGTTTTTCCGAAGAAGTTAAAAAAAAATAGTTCGGTTTCATGTCTCCATGATTCTGGTTCTGATTTCAATTTTATGGAAACTGTTGGGAACAGCTTGGTTCCAATTTAGCGAGAAACCATACCTAAATGGTGTAATCAAAACAATTTTATTTTATTTATTTGCATGGTTCTTAATCTTTCTTTTTCCATTCTTTTCCTCTTCTTCTTCTTTTTTCCTTCCTTAGTATATTTTTTTAATAGTTTTAATGTTATACATTGTTTATGTAAAATAAAGTTAAAAATAGATGATTTAAAATTTAATTAATTATAGTAGGGTATTCATGTATATATATATATATATATATATATATATTGTAATTGAATTTTAATTATGGAAACAAAATAATAAAGAATATAAGATTTTGAATTATTTTCATATTCTAATAAGTAGAATTATATGAAATTCCCAATTTTTAATCATTCAAACACCCAATAAAATGATGTAATTTGTTGGAAGGGATGTCATGGTTCACCAATACTTCTACTTACTACGGACAGAGTTATTAAAATCTAAGCTTGCAATTAACCCACTAAACAATCCGGCCATGCTGTATTCGCTATATACATCATTGTTAAATTTGTATGACACAATGTCAGGAATGAACTAAATTCATCTAAATAAAACATTCTAACCCTTAGCGCTAATCGTGACAGGAAATATTTTTGTCATTATTTGAAGAGAACTAATCTAATAACTCACATCTTCGCGCAACATGCAACTAGCTCTTTGACAATCCCAATTTATAGATACCTATCGGTTAGAAACATATCGATACTTTCATAAACACATTATAGATGACCATTTATTATAGTGTATTCGAGATTGAGAGACGTTTAGAGAGAAACAAAAGAATGATTTTGGTCGTCCAAATTTCCAATTTTTTCCCAAACTGATGACTTGTCTTTCAACATGTGTTGAACATGGACAAAGCTCCTTAAAAAATCTCCAAACTTTTTGGGCAGCATGTTTATTTTACTGTATACTTTTCCAAAAATTTTTTACTTTATACTTCTCAAATCTTGTATTTGTTGGTTCTTCATTGTTTTGTAGTGCTTTAAAGAATGATCGACTAAATAAGTGAAGATTGACCTAACATTGAAAGCTGGTAAAAATGCAACTTGATTACTTATATCACTTTTGTCTAACTTGTCAAACAATACGAGTGTTTTGGAACCTAAACCTGGACCATCATTTGAAGTTTTAAAAATTTATTATTATTTATTTTGTTTTTAGTTTAATCGATATATGGTTGAGCTAGTATGTGGAACCACCGGCTACAAAATTTCAGCATATATTAATGAATATTAGTTTTGATAGATTTGTATTGCAAAATATCCATGGAACAAGTGGGATGAGAATAAAGAATTTTTTTATTTTTGAGAAACAATTATTTATTAAAAAATATAAAAATTCCTTATACATTTATTAATTCAAAGAGTTTTTAGACTTCTTTTGTATTTTATTGTTTAGTCATTTTCCCAAAGCATTCTTAGGTAGTATAATTTATAATATCTTTCTTTTCAGTTTATATAACAACAATATTTTAGTACAGGTGGAGAAGATGGATTGAAAATGTTTCAATATTTGACGTGTCATGTTTTTAGCAGTCCACATGAGATCATGGAGTCTCATGCGATATTACATGAAACATGAATAATGTGGAAAATTAGGGTTGGCTCTTGAATGGCATACTTGTGAAGCCTCAAACTATTAATAATATAAAGCTAAAAAGTTAGGACAAAGTATAGAGTTAGTAGCACAAGGTATATACTTAGTAAAATGTATTATTGAATAGGAAAACTAGATTTTGATACAATGCTAAATTGCTAATCGGATAAACTAATGAGATTTTTTATTTTGTTTACGAGTTGAGTTTCTTAGAGAATTCTATAATCTATCATCGGATAATTTTTCATACACAATCTAATTAACAGACTGATTGTCTAATGGCACCAGACCCTTACTACCCAAAAAGAGGTTGGGAATTTGAATCTATATAGTATCAACTATGGAAAAAATATATATATACACAATCTAATAGGCAAAGTAGAAAGTTCGGGCATTGGGCTATTGTAATGGGCTTTAGTCCCACGAATGCCTAAAGTTTGAAGCCCTCATTAAAATTGGGGTCGTTTTGTCATTACTCAAGTTAATGACAAATTCTCGAAGAGTGAGCTTGAACTCAAATGGGGTTGTCACAGTAAGATTGGATGGACTTGTGAACTCCCTTTTTTTTTCTTTTTTCTTTTTTCCTTTTTTTTTTTTTTTTTTTGTTATATTAATAATGAATTAATTATCAAATTTATTCGGTGTGGATTTAAGTGATGTGATAATTTACTTTTTATATGTTTAATGTATGTAAGAAGGTTAAATCGGTTTTATTACAAAAAGTATTACACCGACTTTTTAAATAGAACACTCATTTTTGGGACGCCCTTTGGACAATCAAAATGTTTAATTTGGTTAAAAATAAATATGTGAACAATTGTTTTGGACAAACGAATTATGGTTCTTGGGTTAGAAAAAGACCATACTCGGACCGAGCAGTCTTTATTAAGGAAGAGGGTTTGGAAGATAAATTTGACAACCAAAATTTCTTTTTCGTACCTGTTATAGTGTTAAGCATATTAAAAGGGGAAATTTTTTAATTCAATGTCTATTATCCCTTATCATTGTGAAACAATTTTTTTTTTTCGTTGCATTACACTTACACTTTCTATTGGTGTGAATTGTACGAAAATGTTGTCGTTGTTGAAAAAAATAAAAATAAAAATTGTACGAAAATAAGAAATTTTGTACCATCTATAAGATGGCACAAAATTTCCATACATTTGACCAATTCAAAATTGAGCAGAAAGAATAAAACGAAATGAAAATCAACAAATGCAATAAAATACTCTATGATACACTCAAGCAACCATCATTTTGTTTATTTATACAAAAATGAAGTCTAAACTTCTGAGCACTAAAACGTCTTCTCGTAATATCCTTCAACACATTATTAAACACAGAAAACCAGTTACCCTAATCCTTTAAAGTTAATTATTAAATTTACCGACTTGAAAATAATTCTAGTGTATTACAAAGCGAAGGGCGTAAGTTCAATTCTCAACAATAAAAAAATAAAATAAAATAAAAAATAAAAACCCACTAATCAGAACGATTTTATTTATTTGCATGGTTCTTACTTGTTAATTTTTCTTTTTCCCTTATTCTGATCATAACATTATGTACCAAAAACATGGTTCTCCTTGAAAGCTTCTACGTAAGTGGCAGGGTTTGGAGGAGATTCATAATTTTCAAGAGGCTATTGAATTGTCTGTTTCTTATTCTTCTCCATGGATGAGAAAGAAGTTGACTAGAGCCTTTATATATATATATATATATATATATATATATATATATATATATATATATATATATTATGTCGAGATTTTGGACTACACAAATGTTTTGTGGAGCATTTGGAAATAAAGGAATGCTTGGACTACATGAAAACAAGAGTGAGTTAGAATCAGATTGCTGCAACAACTTGTTTTGAGGCACTACTTTCTGTTAGAAGTATTTTAATTTAAAAAAATTAAAATATTATTAAAATAATTCTTATTAAAGTTTTGTGATGGTCATCATAATTATTATTATGATGAAGAAACCGCAACAGTTTTTCAACTTATATATAAAGAGGTTGAAAAAACTGCAAACACTTTTTCACACACAAACAAACAAGCAAAGGACTGACCAGCACCACTGTTTTAAAGATGGTTTATGCTATATAGAAGACCTTAACCATCAAACCTTATGTTGATATATTCAAAACCCTCACTAAAAAAACGAGTATTATTCATGAAGCTGAGGTGCACTTTCCTATTGGAACAACGTGAGCTTGAACCAAACACAAAATAGTCAACTTATGATAAACAACCACAATATTGTGAAATGTTAATTCTAATCAAGCCAACAAAAGCAATAAAATTAAAATACATTTTTTTTTTGGTGAAATGTTGATTCTAAATAAATCACCAAAACGCAATCAAAAGAAATTAAGTCTCGACTCTATACTCAATTTCCAACCACAGTTGGGAGGATCCAAATTGGAGGCAGCATATCCATATGTGAAGGATCAAGAATGTAATGTGTGCCAAAGTTTCCATTCTCTACGTTGAAGATACCATTGTCACGGTACCCATACGGTGGGTAAACTATGAAGTTAAAAAAATCATCGATGTAGTATATGGAATTTGGCTGGCATCCAGGGAACTTCGAAGTTGAAATACAAGTGGAATGGCTGTCTCCCAAAAACATTGCATCTCCGCCCAAGCTCTTCACTTCAATCCGCTCAGGCATACCATTCTCGTTTGGCTGTAGCAGCAGCTTGAAAACCTTGAAGTTCGAAGTTTCGTGCTGTAAATCATATCCTATTTCTGAATGAAACCGTTGCACATTATACAAATCTCCACTAGATGATTCCACGAGACATATCCGGTGAGCATACACTTCAATCCTTGGTACAATTACTTTAACTTGGGGAGCCTCACTTGCCCTGCCCCTGCTATTAACATCAATCATTAAGACTCCACCCCAATAATCAACTGCAAAAACCTTGCCTTTATAATATATGACATCAAAGATTACGTTAAATCTCTCATCTTCTACATAAGTCCAATCTTTGTCACTAGGTCGAATGAATGCCAATTGGTGGCGATCACTATAGATGGCGGTAACTATGCAGTCATTCGGAGACAAAGCAGGGTCAGCCGACAATATAGCCTTATGAACTTGGTACTCAATTAAAACAGGTTCATCAAATGGGGTATATTCGTATTCGATATCGACCTCAATATCTTCTAAGTCACTTTCATGATACTCGAATTTTGAGACGTACATGATGGAAGGAAGCTCAATGGTAGAACCAGAGAAGGGGTTTAATAGAGTTACACCCATGTTTTCTTCAACAGTGAACAACCAACCATATGAAGAACCGGAACACCTCTTCTTGTAAGGTACCCATAATTGAAAATCATATATTTTATCACGAGTGATGTTGTATAGAATGCGAAATTCTTCACTATTATCTTTTGTTGGGACCATCAACAATGGAACTTGTGCATAACATTTTCTTTCGAGAAATTTAACTTTGTTCTCCAATGCCACAAATTGCCATGGTTTACAGACAGCACCAAAGCGAACATAGTCCGAAAGCGAATCTAACTTGTCCACAATCATATCCAATAAGTTCTTAGGGAGCCATGTCCAGGCCGACTCCACTGATGATTACTAACGATTATTTAGTTGCACAGCACAACAACAAATCTACAACAAGAACAAGCTAAGAGAACCTAATCAATTACAAAATCTGGTGAGGTTTCATAATCTTAAACATGAAAACCATATATATAGAACCATAAAACTATATATATAAAGAAGAAAAACAAAAAAAATGGTAATAGTAATAATAAAAATAATATCTACCCAGTTGATAATATGAAGCAGCTAACCAAATAACGAGAAGCGCAATATTAAGACATTGTTTAGGTGAGAAAATTGTAATAGGATTAAAATTGATGAAGATTTACCTAAATTGATGAACATTTACCTAAAGTTTATGTGATGAAGGACACTGACTTATCCCGTGTGTGTATGTATAGATATATATATCTATACACATATATATAGTGCTTATAGCAATCTCCTTTCCTAAGTAGACTTGTAAACGGATCTGATACAGATACAGATACAAATATAGAACAAGTAGAGTGGGGATTACACTTTAATCAACAAAATTAAACACCAAATCGATAACTGTTGTTAAATAATCTAATATAAGAAATAAAATTAGGGCTTCTAATTGAGAATAAAGGAAAGGAAAGGAAGAAGAAAACAGAATACTCACAGCGTGATAAAGGTCTTTAGGCGAGAAGGCGAAACTTTCTCGATCTACTGTCTCTAGAGAATCCGGCGATCACTCCCTCTTCGTTGTTTGTGTGACACCCCTCAATTCTAGAGCCACGGGTGATCAAGTCTGAGCACAGAATACAAGGGATATCAAACAATTAATATTTAAACAAGCATTTGAATATAAAAAGAATAATAAAGAATAAATAAATAATAAGCTGAAGGAAACTAAATAATAAATCCTTATTTTAAAATCCTCAAATAAATAATAATTAAAAATCCAATAATAAAATCCTCTAATCTTCGGATACTAGTAATTAATTAAACTACAACTCGGGAATCCATCCTGTGGACCCCTAATAATATCCTAACCGAAATAACTGAACCGAAATAAAAATAATAAGTAACTAATGAAGACGAGTCCTACGTAGAGTCGGAAGAGTGAATGACTGTCTCTGCTCGGCACGAACAATCTCTAAGACTAGAACTGACGAACACCTAAAAAATAATGGTGGGTCAGGCCCACAAACAAGTTCTAATCTACTACATCCCAAACAGAGACCCGATACACGTACACATCCTAATTAATTCAACAATAACTAAATAGTCCATATGTAGATATATACACACTAAAGGAATCTCATTAGACCATAAAGTTGTCTCAACCTGAATAGTAGGCAACATGCAAAACGCACATATAGTGGGCATGAGTACCTAGACTTACCAGGGTACACAACTACGCTATATCTAGCTACACATCCCTGGCAATATACGCACCATAACCACTGATCCTGAGACTCAAGCTCATATCATGGTGTATAATTATATATTTGAAATCCGTCCTATCCAACCATCAAAAATAAACTATCCAATTATTATTTTAATAATATGTCATCCAACTATTCCGTTGACCTGACACGAATAAGTAGGACTTAACACTATGGTTAATCCGTTCCCTTATTAAAAATAGGTAGGACTTAACTTCTAAGTTAATCCGTCCCTAATATGCCCCCATCCCATAATGGTGCATTAATCCACATCATAACCAAAGAGAAGTTTCCAATCCAAAGATAATGTAAATAATATTTACATATAAACATTATATTAATCATATATACATTCTTTGCATTTACTTGAGCAAAAATCTCAATTCTAAGTTTCATGCATTTAATTTTTCATTACACGAAATTAAAATGCATCTCAACTAAATTGTACATCTCCATATTTTGATTAAATTAATTTAAACTAAGCAATAGATTAAAATAATTTAATCCAGCAATATCTAATTAATTTATTCTTTCAAAATTAATTAAATTCCATCCTTAGCATGTAAAATTATATCATGCATAAATAAATATTTAATTCAAATTCATTAATCAAAACTAACAAATATTAATTTAATATTCTAACATTAAATAGATTACTATTAAAAATATTTAATGCAAAAACTATTTAATCAAAACAAAATAAATTAATCATAATACCAATCATTATACTAATCATTATATCCATAATAGTACCAATCATTATATCATGGCATTATATAACAATCTGTTTTTTTTTTTTTTTAAAGGAATTGTCAAGACTTTCTCGATCGGCGTGCCCAATTCATGAAAGAACAAATTCCAGTTTACGAATTGCTACAAACCCAGTTTCATGCCACTTTTTAGCTTGCCTCGTTCGGCGTGCATAGCTTGTAAAAATACTAATTTAACTTTACTCACGCATACAAACTGATGCATGGAACAAGCATCACTAATTTAACTTTACTCACATGCATACAAACTGATGCATGGAAAAAGAATTCTTTATTTAATTGTTTTTATTATTTTTTTCCACCATTGTATTGACCTCCTTGTTTCGCGTACATGCTTTCTGTAGAAACAAATTCTAATTCTATATTTAAACACACCACTTGATTCATGCTAACATAAGTCATGAAAAAAAAAATTAAATTAAAACCAAGGCCACCAATAGTGTAGGCAAAAAAAAAAAATTAAAACCCATTATTAAAACCCATAAATTGAAATTTCAAAGTAAATCTATGTAATTAGATCCAATTAATTTATTTAAAGAACCTAGAATTAATCTAGTATGCATAGAGTATGAATCAAAGGAGAAGAGAAGAATTAAAACTTGCCTTTAGGGATTTGATAAAAATCCTAGCCTCCTTCTTCCTTTTTCTCTTCCTTCCTCTTCCTTCTTTCTCTCTCTAAAATATAGTACGTAATATATTTTCTAATCTCTTTCACAACTCTATAGTTATATATTTATAGGCAATTAAAATAACCCTAATCCTTTTCCCATTCCAAGACAAACTAAAATGAAATAAAAATAAAATACAATAAAATTTAAATACTAAAAAGGTAACTAAATATATGTTACGTATAATCTATGTGTACCCCTTTTTATATATAATATATAAATATATATCAAATTATTATTAAAGAGACTTTCCTTACATATATATATATATTTATTTATTTATTAAATATACATATACATGGGTAATCATCCGTACCCATTAAACCCCTTATCCAAGTAGTCCATGGAGCCCAATTGATTGGTCAATTACTACTATCCATATCCAATTCCTTAAAAATATAAAAATAAAATAAAAATAAAAATAAAACAATTAAATTCCTAAATAAATACACATCATCACATTCAATTCAATTTAAACAAATAATTAAATCAATTAAACAAGTAAACAATTAGCCAAGAAAACAACTAAATAATTAAATGCAATTAAAACTATTAAAATAATACCGAGACTATCCTTTTTATATTAGGGGTATTACATTCTTCCCCCCTAATAAAAGGAATTCCGTCCTCGGAATTCGCCCTTACCTTCTTCCACTATATCTGGAAACTGTGAGCGAATAACATCCTCTTGTTCCCAAGTAGACTCAGCCTCATTATGGTGATTCCACTGGACACGTACTAACGATATGACTTTATTGCGAAGAACATGATCCTTACGGTCAATAATGCGACACGGTGGCTCCACATATGTTGCATCCGGCTGCAACTCAATCTCTCCCACATCGATATGCTGATACCGATCTTCATCTCGCAGAAATTGTCGCAACATGGAAACATGAAACACATTGTGCACTAGATCCAAATGATCTGGAAGTGCCAATCGATAAGCTACAGCTCCAACGCGATCGGTAATCATTATGGACTCACAAACCGTGGTGATAACTTCCCTTTCTTCCCAAAGCGCATTACACCTTTCATAGGAGACACTTTGAGTAGAACCTGATCCCCAACCTGAAACTCCAAAGCACGAGTACGACGATCCGCATAACTCTTCTGCCTACTTTGGCAGTGCGCATGCGATCCCTAATAAGAGCAATCTTCTCAGAAGTATCCTTAATGAACTCAGGACCCAAAAATCGGCTCTCGCCAACCTCCATCCAACAAACAGGAGATCTACATGGTCGTCCATATAATGCCTCAAACGGTGCCATACCAATAGTCTTCTGAAAACTATTGTTATATGCGAACTCCACAAGTGGCAAATACTCCTCCCAATGGCCCTTAAAGTCAAGGACACAAGAACGAAGTATATCCTCCATTATTTGATTAACCCTCTCGGTCTGTCCATCAGTCTGAGGATGATAAGCAATGCTAAAATGCAACTCTATATCCAAAGCCTGCTGAAAACTCTTCCAAAACCCTGATACAAAGCTCGAATCCCTATCCGATGTAATAGATAATGGAATGCCATGCAACTTCACAATCTCTGTAATGTAAAGTTTCGTTAACTGTTCTGAAGTGTAATCAGTGCGAATAGTTAAGAAATGAGCTGATTTGGTCAACCTATCAACGATGACCCAAATGGAATGTGATTCTTGAACGAATTAGGTAATCCCTCCACAAAATCCATAGAAATGCTCTCCCATTTCCACTCCGGTATTGGCAGTGGTTGTAGAGCTCCTGGCGGCCTCCAATTATCAATCTTGACCATCTGACAAGTACTACATCGTGAGACAAATAGAGCAATGTCCCTCTTCATACCTGCCCACCAAAACTGCCGCTTCATATCTTGATACATTTTTTCACCTCCTGGATGAACCAAAAACTCAGAGTGGGGAGTCTCAGTCAGCACATCCTTCCTCAACTCATCAGCAGAAGGTACCACTAACCGTCCTTTGTACCTCAAACCTCCATCAGCCCCAACATAGTAGAATGAAACCTCTCCATAAGCTATCTCTGCAACTTTATCAATGCACTGCTGATCCATGAGTTGTGCCTTCAAAACTTTGTGAATGATAGCAGGTGTAACTACCATGCAAGCTAGGAAAGCATCCGACAATTCATCCACCCTCTTCAACGCATTCCACTCAGTAGTGAATAGAGCGGAA